AAAGTTCTTTCTGCAGAAGTTGTGTGGGTTTTGGCAAAGTGGGTCTTGAACCAACTGGCAACGTGCCTCTCTCGCAAACAGCACCTCGAACTGTCTGGTTTCTTCTCTCGCTTAACTCGCCTGTATTTATGGACCCTCGCGCAAACCAGGCGCGTGGCATGAGGCAGTTGCGGGTTCCCGGGGAAACCCCAACATCTTCCTTAGTTTTAATAAAATTTATCGCGTCTTAGGCAAACGAACAAAAAAAAGATATAACCACAATTTCATTTCTGAATTTCCGTTGAAAACGGGTCGGTCATAAGATTCAAGCCTTCTCAACTGACCGAATTTAGGCTAGAAACACATTTTCAGCCGTCGTGCGTGCACCCCATTATCCACTTCATTCAACGAGTGACCTAATGACGCTCTCATCTTTTATCTAGTCGACACTTGATGTTAAAATGTAATCTATTTTTCTGCGCAGGGTCGAGTGGATACTTAAGAAAATACCATCGCTTAAGATTAAGTTGACCAAAAACAGATGGCTTCTAAGCTAGCCGTCGTGGATGGGGTGAAAAAGAATATATATATATATATATATATATATACAATTTACCCATAGTACGCTATATATATATATATATTGTCTGCGATAGACATTACTCCAAGGAAGCGTACTAAAATTGTAAGGCTGCATCAACACACTCGCAAGCCTTACCAATGAACAAATCAAAGTAATATCGACTGGCTCGGAAACTTTCCTGATTTAAATCCAATCGAGAATCGGTGGTCAGTCTGCAAGAAAATGGATATACGGAGTACTGACATGTGCACTGGCTTATGTTTCATTGGAAAATACGAAAAAAATGTATATAATAACGGAATTTCAGTTATTTTGCGCATGTCTGTAGCTATACAGTGAACATCAGTAGCCTTCTTGCGTCGCAGTGGCTTTATTGCATTGTTTGGGGTGAAATGATTAAAAAAAAATTTGTTCGGAAAATCGAATTTGTTTAAATCAGAGCTGATGGCGATTTTTTTTTTTTTTTTTTGTAACTAGTTCCGTCTCCATAAAATACCATCGCTTAAGATTAAGTTGACCAAAAACAGATGGCTTCTAAGCTAGCCGTCGTGGATTGGGTGAAAAAAGAATATATATATATATATACACACTTTATATATATATATATATATATATATATATATATATATATATATATATATATTATATATAAGTACGATATATATATATATATAGCGTGCGATGGGTAAATTGTCGATAAATTACGCAAAAATGAAAATAACACTGACTTCATTTTAACAGATATATTGGCCAAATGAGACAAAAATATAAAGAGAGAGTTGATTCAATAAAATCGCCATTGGCTTCAACCACGGCTTGCAGACGACTTTGGAATCTTCTGCAACTCTTCTGGACTGTCTGTATGTTTAAGTTAGAGAATGCTGTTATAATCCTTGGCTTCAGACCTCTGTGTTGAGTCTGGGACCCTGTGGGAAGATGAATAGAAGCGTCACTAATGATCACTCCCAACACCATGATGTTGACTGGACATATCATTCAACTGTTTCCACATCCTCAGCACTGTCCTCAAACTGATACCCAAACACTCTGAAATGTTCATATTGGCGCTTCCAGCGCAGGTGCCAACAATACAGCATCCAAGTTTCTGGAGGAGTGAATTGTGTTATGGGGCACATTTTCTCACAGACCGTGCCCAACTGACCCTACTATACTATGAAATCGATAAAAATCAAAAACAAACAACGCGCATGCGCGAAATTAAAAATAAATAAATAAAATGGCGACAATTTAACTATATATATATATATATATATATATATATATATATATATATATATATATATATATATATATATATATATATATATATATATATATATATATATATATATATATATATATATATATATATATATATATATATATATATATATATATATATATATATATATATATATATATATATATATATGCGGAGGCATGGTGGAGCAGTGGTTATGGCTTGGATTGAGGAATCGCAGAGCCGAGTTCGAATTCCAGTCGAATCCACTGCATTCACTTACGTGCTAATACCCTTGGGAAAGGTATGTATCCTCTTCATCTCCCTCCAGCTATGGGTAAAATAGCAGGACAGACTGGGTTCTATAGCCTTGGATGGCAACTGGTCTAGGAGAAGGACAACTCTGAATTCAAAACCTGCGGAGGGTCGTTTGGGAACCTTGTGGCATGCATTCGGTGCACCAGGTTTCTGTATTCGTCCCCCCAAAAAGTGTGGCTGGTCCTGCACAATGTGCCGGTGTCGGGATGTTGGTTTCCTGGGGACTTATCGGCCTGACCCTAATACGTCGAACGCGACGTGAGAGTCGATTATATATATATATATATATATATATATGGAAAATTCATTTCTGGTCGAGCACTCTTGGGAGAAAGCGTGAATTTGTAAACAATGACAACTACTGCTAATACTGCAAACCTCCTCAATGAATTGTGCCCTTTCGGGTATTGGCGTGTTTATTCAAAGAATACGTACGTAAAAAATAACCTTCCTCTCAACCGGGAGCTGATAGCTCTGGGGTAAAATCTCCGACCGATGCCAGACCCAGAATTTTTTAAACTTCTAACGATCGTAACGGATAGTTCATCACCATTATAAGTACATGAAACTCCAAGTTGTATATATACTTTACAGCTCTGTATTACCACAATGAGCACTTTTTTGTTAACACCAAAAATTAAATAAAGTATTTATTTGCAAATTTATATATGCGCATGATCGCACGCATGTATGGTTTCTTGTACCTATATTTATTTATCTGATTCATAGTTATATATATATATATATATATATATATATATATATGCACAAATGTACCATAATTTATGGGACAGGTATATCAATTTTCTGTCTGTATTATAATGTTTTATCTAGTCCTGTCCCATAATAGTTGTTACACTTGGTGTGTTAAATAGGTCTGCAAGAGTACATTTATGGGACAGATATATAATTTTTGCTGAATTTTAAGTTTTTACTACCTCTGTCCCTACCTCTGTCCCATAATTCTTGCTACATTCGGCGTGTTAAAGATGTATACAAATTTGCCAAAATTTATGGGACAAATATATACTATTTGTTGAAGGCTAATACAAGCTTTCACTATCTTTGTCCGATAATTATTGTTGCATTTGGTGTGTTAAATATGTTTGTAAATGTACCAAAATATATAGGATAAATATTTAATTTGTACTGAAATGTAATTCAAATTCTCCCCTTACTATGTATACATATTGGGGTATGAAATATATATATATATATATATATATATATATATATATATATGAAAATTTCTCCGATTTAACCAGTAGAGAAGAGAATATTTATGCACTAGTCATACATAGAAATAAATTCAACCATAATTTTGATTTTAAAAACGCTACACTCATAAAAATAGAAAATAACTCACTCAGAAGGAAAATTCTAGAGAGTGCCGCCATAGAAAATTACCCAAATATTAATCTACGCCCAGGTTTTTTCCCTATTTCACCTTTCTTAACAAAATTACTGTTCTCACAAACAAATGTACACAACAGATTCATAAAATCAAAAGAAAATGGTTGAATACATCAACACAGATATAATGACAATATTCTCCACACTTGATAAATATTGACGTTAACAATATGAAAATAGCGATTCTATACATTCCAGTTGCTAGGAACATTCTGTTTTTGTTTTTATTAGCTATCTTGTTCAATTGATTTCATTTCGTATTTTGCTTTGATAAAGTCCACATTGAACGAAACGCGTCAGCAGTTACTAGTTTTCCTATTGTCATTTTTATTCATATATATATATATATATATATATATATATATATATATGTGTGTGTGTGTGTGTGTGTGTGTGTGTGTGTGTGTAAATGTATTATTTATTGTGGGACTGTGGTAGTTATAAGGTTATTGATAATACAGCATTTCTAAATATTAACTATGGAAGTATAAATTTCGTAATTTTGCATGGAATATTGCTGCCATATATGGTCTGGATCCCCCGCTGTTCGTCTCAGGGTCATCGACAAAATCCAGAGACGGATATGCAATGTGATAGATCCCAATCTGGCAACTCGTCCACAATCACTTTCTCACAGACGTACCGTTGCTTCTGCCTGTCTTTTCTACAAATATTTTCACGGCAACTGCTCCGACTGTGAATTTAAGCGTGCTACTAGTTTGGCATCTGGGTCCCACCCTTTCACTGTCGAAACGGCTAAATGCAACCGCCTCTTCTACACCAGCAGCTTCTCTCGCACTTCCAGTCTGCGGAACTCCATTCCTCTTACTTCCTTCCCTGATAGCTATAATCTTCTAATATTCAAGTGTAATGTCAATCGACATCTTCTGATGCCTTGATCAAGTTCCCCGTCTTTCTCTTTATCCTTTCCTCAAACACTCCCCTTTACTCTTGCTCTCACTCTCTGTAACCCCTTGCGTGCTAGTGACACTCCAGCCTTGTTTTGGGTGAAATGCTTAAAGAAAAATTGTCAACTTTAACGTACCTTTCACCTTTCACTTTTTTTCGAATTTGTTTATAATTGAATAAGAACAAAAGACAAAGAAAATACGTTTGATAAATTCAACTTTATTTTTTGCACGAACTTTCTTTTCTTCTCTCATTCATTCACCTTCCCTTTCGCTGTGTACATTCTTATCTCTCTCTCTCTCTCTTTTCATTCTCCCTTGTTCCTCACGCAATCATTTTTTTTTTTTTTGCATTGCAAGCTGACAGATAACCAAATATTGCGAATAAGTGAATATCCCGGATAAACGAATATATTGCAGATTTGTGAAGATTGCGGATAACTGAATATATCGGATAATCGAATATTGCGCTTATAATGAGTACATGTCTTTGTGAACAGAATTTTTTTTTTATAGATTTTCAAAGTCTTTTAACTCGTGTTTATCCTTCGAATAGAACCCGAATTTCCTCTGTCGCTTGTGACTTTTTCGATGCCTGAAAGAAGAAAGAAAACGAAATTTAATGACATTATAAATTACATGACAGACGAGCCGACAAATAAAAAACAATGTATTTTATATTACAAGATGTAAATAAAGATGACTATCATATTGTTGACAACGTTACAGGTGAATTTTTTGCGTACGGACTATGTTTTTTTTTCAACAATTCTCCAGCTAAACGTGTTCGTTTTGGAATGAAAATCATGAAAATCGATCATTTGGGAGAGCAAGAATCCAGATTTGAATAACATAAATTCCTGTTATAATGGCTCATGATTTTCTTGTTTGGGACCATATTAAGAATTCCCTTTACAACAAGACCTCGTCCTGGGTAAGACGTTAAACTACATCCGCGTCCTGGCTAAGACGTTAAACTACGTCCAGCAGCAAGGTTTTGAGGAGCGTGGAACAACCTATTAAGTGCTGGTGTTACCAGGTCCACCCTGATCCGGGGTGGAAGCACCTGTTAGGGTCCCATCAAATAGTTATTTATTACCAGCAATGCTTTTTTTTTAAAAAAAAAAAACTATTGCCAGCAATACAATTTTGAAGGAAATATATTACCAGAAACAGATTTTTGACAAAACAAAATATTACCAGCAATAAAAAAAAATCTTGTCGGCATTAAATAACTCATTGAGGTTGATATGCCGTAAAACAAAATAATCCAAACCAATCTAAACCAAAGAATACGTATTCTATTCATACGAATATATCCTAAAAATGTTGTCGGCATTAAATAACCCATTGAGGTTGATATTCCGTAAAACAAAATAAACCAAACCAATCTAAACCAAAGAATACATATTCTATTCATACGAATCTATCCTAAAAATGTTGTCGGCATTAAATAACACATTAAGGTTGATATGCCGTAAAACAAAATAAACCAAACAATCTCAACCAAAGAATGAATATTTTATACATATGAATCTATCCTAAAAATGTTGTCGGCATTAAATAACCCATTGAGGTGTTGATATGCCGTAAAACAAAATAAACCAAACCTAAGCAAACAACTAGACCTTGCCCAGTGGCCCAATGAGTGTAGGACTGGTTTGTAAAACCCAATACAACAAAAAAACAAATTAGTAACCTTTTACCTATCCAGAAGCACGGATCTTATATCAAGGCGACTTCTTACACTGAACGTCTGTCGGGATCCAATTTCTAGATTTTTTTGTACACCTCGGCTGTAGCCAAGTATTGAACTCACAACTTCTTTGGATCAAGTCACCGGATAAAACCACCGCTTTTATCCACTAGACCATGTGTCTTTGAAGAAGAAGCCCGGAGCATACAACGACCGGAAAGTCGTGAATATATCAACAAAGGTGTGGACAACAGTAAGAGCAATGTAAATAGTGTAAATAATTTCAATATCCCATCTCAGAAATATAGATAGATCCTGAAGAAGGCCGTAGCGAACAACGCCGAAACGTCGGTAATATGCCAACAAAAATTAGGACAACAGTCGGAACAATGTAAATAGTGTAAATAATTACAATACTTCATCTCGGAAATATAGACAGGTAAATTTGTCATCAAAACAGAGACCTATGATCTGCAATTGGAACGAAAACAGTAATCTGAATCCACAATAATAATAAAAAATCAGATGTGGAGAACCTGATTGGTGGCCCCGGGCCATGCGTCGAAGTACCCTATACATATCTCTATCTATAAAAGGCAGGATGTGTGTGTGTGCGTGTGTGTGTGTGTGTGTGTGTGTGTGTGTGTGTGTGTGTGTGTAACGAATGCACGGCCGCAATTTTTGACGGATTTGAACCAAAATTTACATGCACTTGCTCCAAGTTAGCGAGGAAGGCCAAGACCGACTTTGCATTTCCCAACTCCCATCGATAGTAGAAATCATCGATTTCTTCATGCTTCTACGGCAGTTTTCATTTAGTTTGCGGCCATTTTCTACTGGCCAGAGTGAGAGCCTATAGCTGGCTGCCACGAATAGACTGGACGATTCTATTGGCTAGCGTGAGAGCCAACAGCTGACTGACACGAATGTTAACTAGCATACTAGCATGCAAAAAAATCGATAGCTGCATTCGTCATAAGTGGGGAAAATTTAAATCTGCATGGCACTTTACTCCAATTGGCCCATTCGCTTGCTTAAACTCAACGTTGATTCTGATTCCGCAGAAGTGGGTTGAGTGTGAAAAAGTATTTGTTGTTAACATTCTTTTTTCATTCGTTTTTTTTTCCAGTTACGAGTCTTTTTTTAAAGCTGATAGTTTTGTGATCATTTTGTTTAGTTCTTTTTTTGTAACGGATTTAATGTTTAGTATAGAGCTTCGAAAAAATTCGCAGTGTGAGATAGGCAAGAAGTAAGGCATATAGCAACATCAGCACGGCAAAGGGCACTCCTTTAAAGGCAAGGAAGGGCAAAAATATTTTAAGTCAAATGAGAGCGATATCTGTATGGGTCGTTCGATTTTTGAATCAAGCCCGGGAAAACGCCGGGTCATGCTGCTAGTTGTGTATATGATCCATTATTGCGTATAATGAGGTTACAATGAAATCTGTATTTCGTATGAATATCACCTTATAAAAATTGAGATGTAATAGAGTAGGGGGCCCCGTATCATAGATTGTGGGTGGGGCTATATGATGGATACGGGGAGTGAAGGCACAAGACCGTTGCACCGGCCTTGCTTGCACTAGGCCTTTGAGATTTTTATATTAATTTTCGACTTCTGCTTCTTATATTTTAATTTCAGAGCGGATTTAAAATAAAGAAAAAGAAGTCCATCATGAGGCGTTCGCTCATCTCATTTTCTTTATTATAATTTTTCTACAAAGAGCAGCAGCGTCAGGCATTGGCAGAAAAGAGCGACTGGAAGGTGTTTCGTTGCATTTGAGCTTCTGCAACCGGTGGCGTCTCAGTTTCATAGGCTTACTGAAATGAAGAAATGCTATGTCACAGGGACAAAGCTGCCTATAAGAAAATAGAGAGGCTGTTGGTGTGGGTGGGGCGTGAGACGCGGTTTTGGAGACACATGCTGGTGACAGAAATTAGATCGGTTCATCACGGTAATATGAGATACAAAAACGAAATCTTTTGCCCCCGGTTGTGTAATTTAAGTGCTTTTATTTGGGAATCGTGGTTGTTACCCAATCTTTTTCTTGTTGTGCAATGTAACGTTTGCTGAAAATCCACACTGTCTTGACCAGCGTTTCTCAACATATATATATATATATATATATATATATATATATATATATATATATATATATATATAATTACATGAATCATTCAGGCAAAAAACAAATATAGAGGTTAATGATTTAAATAGCGAGAATACATCTTCGCAAACAGTTTCAATAAGGTACACTAACCCCGAACCTGTATATGAGTGATATGATCCCTGTTTATAAATTCCAGTTGCATAAGGTCTTTTTTTAGTTTTTACAAGCTTACATCTGTTCCTACAGACATCCTCAGGTATGGAAATAGATTTGTTTTTGTTTTTTACTTCTCGGTAATAAGAGGACAACAAAAATATAGATGTAATCCGAAAAAATGCTATGAGAAATGTGTTATTCTTTTGCAACGCTGAGTTCGAATTTAAATTTTAAGGTTGTGCGTTTTTGTACAAATATAATAATAAGAGAATTATTTTGTACTGGTAAGTTTTCCGTCAATGTGGAATGAACTATATTGTTCAATAATTACAGGAATGTCACACTTATTATCCGAAAGTTGCACGTTGGATCAGTTATTTTAATTTCAATTATAGGTGCAATTTTAATTTATATTTTATATTTGTTCATTGTATGAATGATTCATGTCATTATAAATCAAAACTGCACCTATAAACGAATATATATATATATATATATATATATATATATATATATATATATATATATATATATATGTATGTGTGTGTGTGTGTGTGTGTGTGTGTGTGTGTGTGTGTGTGTGTGTGTGTGTAAAATAATAAAAAATAACATGTAGAGCATTTAACTTTAAAAATCAGAAATTAGCTGAATCTGCTACTTTGGTTTCAACTTTAAGGTATCCTCAGACGATTTTAATCAAATGACTTTCTAACTCACGCTTTTTTTTTTTTTTTTAACTAATGAAAGCTACATTATTCTTTAAAGAATAAATAAACAAATGAAAGATTCTACCAAAGTTACTGATCATTTGCGTAAATTAAAAAAAAACAAAAAACAAAAAAAACAAAAAAACAGGCATCCGATTGTAAGGTGGAAAATTAAAAAAAAAAAAAAAAAAAAAAATGGCAAAGACTTATAACAGCCACAGAATATTTGCAACCTTTGGCAACAGGAAAGAAATTAGCAATAATGACATTACCGGATCCAAAGAATATATTGAACCAGAAAACCGGAATCTTGAGACCTTACACACATTAAGAAATTCCACCTATGAGACTGGATAAAAAAATAAGAATGTACATTTGAGTTACCCACACCCGCCTCGGATTCTATTATAATACCCTTAATTTTCTTCTATTCCCCCTTCTTCTTCTCCTTCCATCTTCACTTCCTCCTCCTCCTTTTCTATTACACCCAGCGTCGGGCGTTTCTTTATTTCTTAAAAAATAATATAGCATTGATTAGTTGGCGGTAGCGAATTCAACAAATCTCTTGATTTTAAATATATATATATATATATATATATATATATATACATATATTATACTCTATACTATTATTTATTACATAATATGTATATATATAGGTATACATATATATATTATACTCTATTTTATGCTCTATAATATTATTTATTATAATATATATATATATATATATATATATATATATATATATATATATCATTATTTTAAAAAATATGATTCCTTCGTTACATAAGAGTACTCATGTTTCAAAAACAGGAGCCAAAAACTTCAATATAATTATTAGAAGTAAATTGAATTAAAGTATCACGCTCTATATATGTTATAGGTATAAAATTGATATGTTCTGTTATAATAAAGACATTGA